AAAACATATAAAATATGAAAATAATACTAAATTATTATATAGTAAAAAATAATAATCAAGTTAAAATTAATTTTTAAAAATCAATAAATCATATTAAAATTGTAAGCAAAAAATGATATAAAAACATAAAAGTTATATAAAAAAAAATACAACAATTATAAATTAGTAAACAACAAAAAAGAAAAAGAAATAATATTAGAAGCTGGAAAAATACCAGTAAAATACCAAATAAAAAACCAAATTTATATACAAACCTTCAGCTTTATAAATTATTTTTATTATTGTGATTCAACTGCTTTTAGTTTGCATACCGTAGCCAACTTCAACAACAATCGCTGGGTATACAAAAAAGGAGTCAAAACTAAGGCAGACTCAGTGTCAGGGCGCATTTAGTATTTACCTGGCATCTGGTCACCCTTTCACCCACCATGCCAAAAGTCCACATGAAACACAGCAACCTACCCCGCCCAGCAATACAAAAAGCCTCGACTCTGGGCTCGTGGTGGTCGTCGTCCTGCAACGTGCTGCCTCCTGCTGCCTCCTGCTGCCTCCTGCTGCTGCTGCTGTCACAAAACTGTCAGTCAAACGTAATTAACACAGAGACAAAAAGGCAAAAAGCCAAAGAGCCAAAAATCCCAACTCAAATGCTAAAAACTTTTACATTTTTCCGCCGAACATTTGAGCATTTTCGAACGGGCGCTAAACAGATATGTTGAGTACACTGGAAAACGCTTAGCAACACGATTTTCCATTGCTCGAGCAATTAGCTTGACAAATTTCATGATTTTCTTGCTGCAATTAGAGCGAAAACTTTGGGCGTTCGTCTGTGGGGGGCGGCCATGAATTTGTTTTCTTGTTTTCCAATTTGAGAAGTTTTTTCTGCGTTAAAACATTAAAAATTAAGGATGCTAAATTAACCTTAATTGGTTTTTTGGATGTATTGGATTGATGGGCTCTACATCTATTATTTAATCAATTTCAAGTTGTCTCAATTCTAGGAAATTTTTGGTTTTTGGCCAATTGATATTTTAAGCTGATATTTGGTTGAGTGAAGGTTAAGGTGTAAATGTTTTATTTTAAGTTTTCTTCAAGATTTTCTGCCAATATATTTTTTTTTATTAATTTTTTAATAAAAAAAAAAAAAAAAAATAAAATAAAATAAAATGATAGATATGCCATATATTTTATTTTATTAAATTACATTTGTATAGTATTTCATATATTTTATTTATATAATTAAAACTGTATAATACACTACAAACTAAATTAGTTTTGGAGTAATTGAGCTACAGGGAGAGGAATTTCGTACTTCCAAACTCAAACCAAAGACTCAAACGACAAACTCGCGCAAACGCAAACATAACACAGTTACAATAGCAGCAACAACAACAACAACAACCGAATGGAGAGCTCAGCACATAACCGCACAATTAGCGCAGCTTTCGCTGTAATTAAGCATAAGCAAATCCCGCAATCGACAGCGCTGTCAATGAATGCGCCGAATACGAACTGAAAAAAAAAGCACAACAACAAAGACAACGACAACAGCAGGCAGAGCAATACCAAGAGAGTTGCCCAAACGGCTGCAGAGTAAATAAGCGAGAGAGAGAGCAGCGTGTCTATAGCTATCACGCTCACAGCAGCGACGCATGCGTTGGCAGCGCAACGAACGAATGCCATTGGCTGCCCAGCGACCAATGGCAATTGGGCAGCGCGGCTTATGAGAGAAAAAAAATAAGCCGAGCACTACTACAGCAACGACAACAGCAGCAACAAAAGCTGCTAATGTGTAAAGTGATTTTTTAATTGCTCTAATAGTTTTTTGTTTAAGTGAGCGGCAGCAGGGGGCGGGTGGGTTGGTTGTGGGCGTGCTGTGTTGAGTGCTGCTGACAGCAACGGCAGAAAAAAATCATTTTTGCTGCTGCTGCACTTTTTGGGGCTTTGTTGCTGTTGCTGCTACTGCTGCTGCTGTTGCATGCATAATTAATTTGGCTTTTAGTGGCATGCAGCATGTTGCCTCTGACTGCCACTGAGTGCAGCCTGTGGTGGCACTGCCACTGGCACTCGTTGTCCTTGTTGGCCACAATTTTTGCCATATTGACGGGCGACATTTGCTGACTTTTAGCGCTAATGGCTTAAACGTGTTCGCTGCCGTTTTTGGCCTTTTCAACAGATTTTTTTCTCCTGTTTTCTCTTGTTTTTTCACTCATCATTTTGTGTCAATTTCAGTCAATTTTTGTTGGCGCTTTATTGGCGGCATTTGTAATGCGTTTACTTTTATATGCAAATCGATGTAGTTCATAAATATTAACAAAGGCACAGAGCAGGAAAGAAAGTGAGAGAGGATCTAATGATAAAAACAACTTTGGCATGTACATAAAAACTTTAATGGACATCTGTGACCTAATGTAATAGAGTGATAAATTATGTGTTGAATATATTATTTATATCACTAAAAGTTTCGTCTGATTACTCAATTAATTATTTTAAAATACATATATTGAAAACTTAATTTACCATTCTTTTAAAAAGATTGAATAACAATTATATAAATATTATTTGAAAACGATTTTCTCCTTTTTCATTAATTAATTTATTATATTTATTGTTGTAAGTGAAAAATAGTTAATGCAAGTCCGATTCCTGTAGATATTTAGCAGAGCAATTACTCCTGATGGATATGTGATATATAAATAAATTGAAAAGCATTTTAATAAGATGCATAATCCTATAAGGTTCAAATAATAATA